TGGCATGGTTTAGAGGTTAGTTGAACTCGAGAGCTGAAGTTCACAGAGGTCAGGAATTGGTTGACTGGAACCGTATGACATTTGTTTGCTTGGTCAGATTGTGACAGCTACCGCATTCCGGGTATCTAATAAGTGTGAAAAGATTGATAAAAGAAACCGAAGTTGACACGTGGCAGAGTTGACAGGGAGAGGGATATAGTCTTAAACTTGTTCGGACGGGTGATTTAGGCGGATGTCAGGACTGATAGAGAATGGCGTGACTTAACTAAAACTAAGTGTAAAGAAAGATAAGGAATTGGAGGGTACCGGAAAGCCTGTAAGAGTCAGAAGAATTATTGCGAGCGAATCGAATATTTGGTTCTCGGTTAGTTAGAGAACAATTTGGGCTACAAGCTAAGGTAGTCGCTTGATTCTCAAAGTAAAGTGAGAACGAGTTGGAAGACTTGTTTATGTGAATGTAGATTAGTTAGTGAATGATAGTCAGGCTATCTAGAGGATAGCGAAATCGTTGTTGAACGATTGATATTGAACGAAGTTCTCGAGGAGAACGTTAGTTTGTAGTGAGGTGTTAATTGAACTGCAGGAGGCAGTTGGTTTAAGTAATAGTAATCGCGAACCCCTCTCTTTCATTGAATGATTAATTTATATTTCAGCCAATTATAGGCTACTATGTATTTGGTTATATTCATTCCTTAATTCCTTCTTATTATTGGAATTGTTGTTGCGATCGATTATTGATTGACGGTTGAGATACAGTCGGAAGAGCACGAATCACGGGGCGAGCAGCACAGTACAGTACAGAGCAGCCAACCACCTTTTGGGATTGTGAACAGTACTGGGAATCGGTTGCCCCGCTGACCTCAGTACCAAAGGGAACATATTGCGGCGGTGTGAAATAGGAAGCAAGACCGGCCTGGAGATATTGTGAATTGCCCCACGTTTACAAAAAATAAAAGTCAAAAACTATCAGTGAACCAACTTAAAAATTGGAATTAAATCAGTTACCATTAAAAAAAAACATATATATGAGAAAGCAGTATAGATGGAAAAAGGATCATTCACGCACATCATACCCAAGTAATTCTTGGCAAAGACTGAAACACAAAAAGACAAGATGACACCCGAGCATTTAACAGCAATTTAATAAAACCGAAAAAAAGTATTGTGATTGCATCAATCTTATCAACGCGGATCAACAAGTCTTCAATGATAACCACCCCGCTCAAACCCCATTCATTCATCAACAAGATTGCCATTAAATAAAAGTAATAATTCGTTCAACGCACGCATGGGAGATACTTACGTCCTGATGATAATTGCAGCACTTTCAGAGATTTCCGTTCTTGTGGAGAAACAGATCAGAGTGACGTAATAAGCTCGACCGGATCGAACACTGAAAATCAAGGCGTTCACTGAACAGTTTTTTCTTTCCAAATCAGTTAACCAAAAAATTCAATCAAAAACAGAAACGGAAAATTATTTGAATTTGAAACATCTTAGAGTAATAGAAGTAGCAACTTACCAAAAAGATTACAAAATTTACGAGCAGAACATTCAGAACGGAAAAGTTACGGATAACGTTAGTTGAAATTTTACTTTACGTGCAAATTGTAACTTTAAAACAGTGCCACTGTCAAAATTATACTTTTAATTGAAAACAATCATTTTATGCGAACAACACTGGACAGAATGAGAAGAAAAACAATTAACTAGCAATAGCCTACAAGAATAGATGCCGAGAAGGTTTAAAAACAAGATTAAGAAGACAAGAGATAAATCGAATTTTCGATTTTCAGTATCAACGCCGACCCCAATTGATGAAGGAGAAATTATCAACTTCACGACTTGTTGTGTGAGAACCTGGGATTTTGATATTATTTGTATGCCCCGAGAAGATGATGGGTACATCTTCGTCCAGTTCCACAAAATCTGACGAAAGACTGCCGTGTTCTTCAATAACAATTCAAGATAACAGCAGCAGCACAGTAAGTCAAACGATACGAAGAGGATCGGGATCAAACCCAGAATCTCAATTGGAAAAGCAGCTTGAACAAGACGATAGCCACCACGAAAAAGAGCGAGAAAACGACAAAAAAAGAATCAACCATGGAAGCCGAAAAAGGAAAGAAGAAAAGAGAAGACTCTGGGCGAAGTCCAGACATAAATCCCGAAGGAGAGCCATGTGATACAAGATCAGGAATTGGACAGGAGCGAGCCTTCAGAGTTAGGGAAAACAGAATAGGTACCAATTGCAATGAAATGAAATCTACCAGAAATTTAAAACGAACCAAATAACAGATTCAAACTACCGAGCGAGAGAGGACATGCAAAACAGACCGATATGTGGCCAAAAGGTTGGGTAACTTCGCAAATAGACCACCTAGACCGACTAAAACGGGAGAGTAGGGAACTAGATACTTAGGGTATAACACAAACAGTGAAGTTAACATCGATGAGAAACACATCAGGAAAGACCCTCAATGCATCACCACTAATACACGATCAAAACAAAATGGACAAAAAATAACATCATTTGGAGAATCCATATAATCAGGCATACCAAATCTGATAGCCATTACCGAATTGGTAACTCCAAACAATCTTAAAATCAGGGACATAATTGATCAACCGAGAGCGGTGGAACAGGGATGGAAACATTTGTAGCCATTCAAGAAATGAGTGCAAATGAACCAATTAGAGACGGAAGAGAGATACTGAAATATAGATGTCGACACACGGAAATTGGCCAAGGGTGAAGCCAGTGAATCCAATAGCCGCCTAACCATCAGTGGAGATATGGAAAGGAATGTTAGGAAAATTACCTAAATCACTAAAATCACTAAAATCACCCTGCTACTTTGTCATAACCATGATGGCTCACGAATTATGTATCCCCAATTTATAGACGTGAAAAAAGCAGTTGTTTTTGCACACCGACAAAATCTGTGTATTATCACCCCCGAAAGAAGCAAGTGTACCAGTTAGGAGACTCTGGAGACTCCGAGCTGCTGCCTATGGATTGGCCGACGCAGCAGTATTTTGTTATACCACAATCAAACGGAAGCTAGAGACGAAGGTAAACACGAGTGCAACATGCCTCACTGTCTGTTCTACGCAACAAATGAACTCCAGCAGAACATGGAGCTACTCGCTCTTCATGTCGATTATATGATATTCGCAGGCGAAGCACTATTTCTATTGAACGTGAAAAAAGCGCTATCAACAATCTCAACGGGACCAAAGGAAAGGAGATTTTTAAGTTTCTTGGAAAAAAATACAAACAAAAAAGGACAGACATAGCAATCATCAAAGCAGAATTACACTCACACCAACTGAGTCAAGAAGGAGCGGCGATAATGAAACAATCGACAACGTGATTGGACCAGATGAGCAAGGGATCACTCGTGAAAAAGTGACCGTGGCAAGAAGCTTAGATTTAGAGTGAGCCACCTTATTATCGAGACTCAACTTAACCAAAAGACTCAAAGATTGCCTATCTACAAAGAAAACTCGACCTCACATAGGAATCATTAAAAAACTTAACCTAGTAGTAAAGTATTACCGTTTGAAAAAGAAATCTCTCAATTGATGATCAAACGTTTGAATGGACTACTGGACATGAAAAAAAAGGCTGAAACCAGTTTTGCAGGACGGGCGACGATGGGACAAATAGGAATTATCAGGGGACAAAACGTTAGTGCAGTGGCAGTATTCCACTGGTTACCAAAAATGATCGCCTCAGATGAGCTGGTTCATTGGAAAGCTCTGATAGTCATCATAGGAAAGAGCAGAAGGTTCAAACACTTCCGTGTGCTTGCCGACAGAATGAGTGTCAGAAAACAGAAAGCAGTATACTCCCCAAATGTGAACGCCACAAACGCAAATCGAGCACAAGTCGCCATAATCAGATTATTAGAACAATTCAAGGTTAAAGGTATTTTTTTGTACATTCCAAAGAACAACATGCAGATTGCTTGTCAAAAAGAATAATTGGAGACGCCCTACTTGACGTTATGAGATATGGCGCGCTACGATATAACCCAAAACCCCGCTGATCATTCAATTGTGGAACCAATACAGAGTCAAGGAGATGGAGAGACGTGGATGTGGATCCCAATTACTTATACATGGATGTATTTAATCTGATCACAAAGACAGCACCAACGGCGAAGTAGAAATAAAAGGAGCGAATGAGAATCATGAGAATCAGGAGAATAAACCACGGACGACAAGATTTCAAGTAGCTGGAAAGACTAAGATACTAGGGCATATCGAACACCAGGTCCCACGGGAACACGCCATCTGAAACATATGAAGGAAGGACATAAACATCAGCAGCCGAAACAGAGCAAACGGAGGAAGACACAACTGAGGTGGAAAGAGGTTCAACAAGGAGACGGGGATGAGAGAAGAGAGAGAGGAATAAAGATTGGAGAGATGAAAAACTTAAACTTGGAAACTTTTAGCTTCAATAGAATGACTAGGAGAAAATTAATAGCCCCAATGTACGCTTGTCTGCTCTTTCGATGCTATAAAGTGTTTGATGTCACATATTAAGCAGTACATTATAAATGCCGTTCGCCTATTTGTTTATACCACAAACCCAGTGAGGCCCCCGGGGAATGTGAGAGTTATGACCTTGACCTCTAGAAGAGAGCAAAGAGCAAAAAGTGAGCAATGACGATGAGTCACAAGAAATAGAATGTTCAAAATGTTCATCTTATTTTTTACTCTTAAGTTATACTTACATCGAGGAATATTTCATTTTTGCGGGTCAAGTGCCCTCTACTAGTCAACTATTCAACACAGTTGAAAAATTTGAAAAATGATCAGACATGAATTATTTCATTATCACAGAAAAGGGTCAAAGATCATGAAATGAGCGATTACTTATTTAGAGGAACTCATGCTAGGCAGGTGGCAAATCCAATTAAACCAAACACTTAAGTGGTGTGCTCATACAATGCTGCTTGGAGCACCTTTTACCCGGCATGTGATCAATTTAATAAGGTCAAAAAGGGCCATCAATCAAGTGGGTGGTTTTTATTGGTACGCAGTTAGCCCGCCTCCGGCTTTTATTAATTCTTATAAGGGCTAACCAGGCAGAAATATTCAAGTATGTGATTATATCGATGAAGTCATAGTGAGAAACGAAACTTGACCAAAAAGGTCATCAATTGAATTCTAAACCTGCACCAAATCACTGGTTTGATTAGGAGTTCAACTTATTTGTTTCTTAAGAATTGATTGCACACATATCAATTTTTAAAAAGCTTAAATTTGACCACTGTCCGAACCAGCAACTTGACTCAGCTTCAAGATTATATTTTTCTATCGTTTAATATTTTCTACTTTTACATTGAATGAATGCATACTTCAGTTCAATTTAACTAATTGCACATATATTAACAAGATTTTAACCTATATGAGACACTAAAAAACATTGAAAAAGGCCCTTGAAATAAGAAGTTTTTTCATTTATTTTTAAAAATCTTTGATTCAATTTTTCCCGTGATATTTCCGATGTAGTTATCTACCTAATAGCTCTATCTGAATAAACGATCTTTTCCCTAAAATAAGCTCGTCACGCTTTTGTTTCTATTTCCGTTCTTAAGACATGTAAGACAGTGTTCAGATTGGTGCATCTCAAATTTCACAACTAAATTTATCAAAACAATATTAAAATTTAGTCTTTTGAAGAATAGGCTGATGGTTTGTGGTAAGTACAGCAATAGTAAGTTAGCTTGTTAATCAGTAAACTTTAAATGATTATCAACTTCTATTTTTAAAAAAGAAATCACTTCTTGTAGTTACAACCATCTATCATTCTTCCAGCGGCGGATTTAGGGGGGTACCCCCTTTGGTACACCTTTATGAAAACTCCAGAAATTTTCTAAAGGCTTACGCCATGGTGGGGAGGGGGGGGGGCGCAAGCCGCAAAAAAAGCATTTTTTGGTCAAAGCTTTAAGAAAAAGCCCAAAAAACGGCACCGTTTATTTAAAAGAGTATGTTTTTGCTCTTTCACACATGTTCTTTTCCGGTCTCTTTCACAAATTTCTGGCATCTTCCCCTCAGAAAGAGCAAAAACATACTCTTTAACAGTTAGAACATAGTTGAAGATGGCCTCGGGCAAAAGAGCCGCACTCGGACACTTCGTGCCCTCAGGCCGGGCTCTTTTTCTCTCGGGCATCTTCCAACTATTTTCTAACTACTACAAAGATCCCATGCGGCGCATAAAATTTGGCTTTAATTTTTTTACGTGTTTTAGGAAAGCTTGAAAAGTACACTTTAAAATTACGAGATACTTTAGACTCGAGAAGTATCTGACTCTAGATCTTTTCCAACTATAGATCTGCCTCTGGTCTTTAAATGTTTTAATAGAGCTAGGGAAACTCTGTTCAGTCAATTTGAAAAATTGGACGTGTTTTCGATTTTATTTTTGAGAACTTGTCCTTTCCCCCTCAGAAAATCCAAGATCCACCCCTGCGTTCCATATCAAAATTATACCCAGTTTAACTAAGTTTGAAAATTTTCACTGAACCTCAGGAAAGTAAAAAAAAATAAGTTCCATAAAAATTTTAACCATTTGCCTTTTAAATAACTTATTCTCAGAAATCCGCAAAAAGTGACAGATAGTGTTGCTTAAGGAAATATTTGTGTTCACTTCTAGACAAACTTTCAAACAGTAACTTTTTAGCAGGTAGCGTTGACTTTTTTAATGTAATATGCAAATTCAAAATAACAACTTCGTTAAACATAAACGCTGCTACAAAATGAAACTACCACCTTAAGTAAGAAATCAACAGCCCCACCGACATTTAAAAAAACTCAAAATCAACTTGTGTAGAAATGAATAATCTCAAAATGAACTAATTGATCTATCAAAAAGAACATTTTAGTGTACATTTTCCCTTAAAACCTGTTGTTCAAATTTAAATTTTTCTTAGATTAAACTTTTCTCAGCTTTACGTTGCTTACACGGCGTGACTAGAACGTTCAACGTGGTGAAACAAATTAAGACAAATGGAATCGGTAGGCAGCGTATCTAAGAAACAAAACAATTGCACGAAACAAATAGAACAAATCAGATTCCTAAATACAGTTTAGGGAAAGAAATCTGTAGCAGACAATAGTTGTTATACTTGGAACAATTATTAAAATTTTGTTTGATACAGATTTGTTTCCTTTTTTTCTTTTTGTTTGTTTTGTTTTGTGCGTTTGTTCAATTTCACAGGTACTCTGTTATAGTTAAAGTGCCTTATAATTCTTTTGCTTTTAAGTTTTTTGCCACCTTGAATGTTCTTGTCACGCCATGTTAGGCACTGAGCGGTTCGGCTGGTAAAATTTTACTCTTGAGAAAGAGACTGTGAGCAAGATTCAATTTTCTACGGAGAAAGCACGCTCTCGTTTCTCAGTTAATTTGTCTGTTTATCTAATAATTTGATACATAGACAGGTATTTAAAAATGCTGAGCTTAGAAATATTTGCGAAAAAATAATAAACTGAAAAGCAAAAACTTGTTTCCAATGGTAAAATATGTCGCACACTGTATATTGAATTAACTGAAACAAAAATTTGGCTTAAAGATTTGCTCAAATCAGCTGAATAATTCATATTTGTCTACTAGAATCGTCAATAAATTGACAATTTTTCTTGCTGACATTGTTTCTTTTCACTGAAATTAAACAATTTTTAAATTTTTTCTCATCCCCAAGAAAACTTCTGTTTTATCAACACAAGGGCCAGGTTGTTTTCACACAAACGTTAATGTATTTTTCTAAACAATTGTAACCTTTTTTTAAGATCACTAATTGAGTTTTCTGTAAATGAGATAATGTATCATCAGTCCTAAAACAGACCACCGTGATTAAGTATCGATTTGTCGTACGCCGTGATTAAGTGTTTTCCAGTAAGAATAACGGTTTGGAAGTTTCACAAATCGGCAAACGTTTCTTAAAAATCCTTCAGTAGTTTTGATGCTTTATTGGAAAAACCATAACGTTTCAACTTTTTTGTTAAAATTTTCATGAGTAACAATATTATAAATTTTAGCATAAACAAACAATATTAAACTTTGTCGATCTAGAAAAACTTGTTTTTCTGGTTTGGTCCATGTTTTCAGTAAATTTGATAAAAATTGCATCCGTCGCGGACTGATTATCCTGAAATTCGAGTTGGTAGACGTTTAATAATGAGATTTGTCTGAAACATTCAATATTGTATTTCAAAAGGATGTTTTCAAAAGTTTTTGAAGGCATCTTCAACATATAAGTTTGTCGATTGGTTGATGCCAGTTTTCTATAATTTTTTTGAAGACTAGTGTTATAAATTTTTTTATGAAATAATGAAAATTGAATCTGCTTTATATTTTAATTTTAATGGAGGTGCGTAGTGACAGCAAATTTACATTGTAGAGGCAAAAGACTTGTTTTCTATTGAATCTGATAAACTCTTTGTTAAACTCTTTTCTTGCGGCGACGCAACGGAAGTGAACAAACAGTTACAGTTTTTTCTTTCGGACTTCGGAATTAAAGTTCTCTCAAAAAATACGTAAGTTGAAAAAAGAACTTGATTCGAATGATTTGCCAAACCTACTTTGCTGATAATTACTACTTTTAAATTATTAGTTATTTTGTTTACAAAATCTTATTGTTCTTTAATTTTCGCAAGCTGCTGAAAAGTAATTTAGCGTTTGGTTTTCTCTGTGCGCTACCTCGCATCCATGGTTTTCCAAATTTATTTAAAAATCTCTGTTTTTTTGTATATAATTTTCGTTAAGGCGTTATCAAACTATACTTTTTTTAATTTAATTGCTAAAGTTTCAAATTTTACTGATCCAGAGGAGTTTTTACACTTTTTTGCTTGCAACAAAATAATATTTCACCTGAAAGCATATAGTGGTCTGTGTTGAAAGACAACCAGTACCAGTTAACATTGCTTCTTTGGTTGTATGAAATTCGTTAAGTGAAATTTCTGTATCGAATACATCCGATAGTTTTGAGACATTTGATTGACAGTTAATTGACAATTTGCAGCAAAATCGTAAATTTTTGATGACTCATCTTCATCGTAGTACCCAGATAGGAAAAAAATTCCATTTTTGAAGCAACTGGTTTCAACCCATTTTGACTTCAAAAAATTTCTGTTACCACTCATGAGATCTTGTATCTGTAAACACTCGTGAATATGCATTTTAAATTAAAAAAGAGTCCAAAATCCAACACATTCACTCTTTAAAAATCTGTCCATTCTGAGCGTGGAAGATGAGTGCAATTGATATATCTAGAATAGACTAGATTAAACCACGAGAATTTTTTTTCCTTTTTTGATTGACTCATTTCGGCATTTGGGTAAGCTCGAGCTTATAATAACTGATGAAAATTGGCTCAGTTTCATAGATCCAGTAAATTTGTATTTTTATCTTCACTAAATTTCAACTAAGAGTTTTTACTGGTATGAAATCTCATGTCACCAAAAAAATCATTATCAAAAAGACCTAAATCAGCGTCCTGAAAAACTACCTTCATGTTAAGAATTTTTTTGTCAGATCATCTAACTGCGTTAGATTTTCAGTTTTCCGGATCGCGGCGCGACCGTCGCGACTAAAGTCGCGACTTTGCGCGATTCAAAAACTTCGAAAGAACTGCGAAACATTGATTGCGCCGTGTCTACCTCGCGCGACTATTTTAGATTTAAGTCACAACTTTCAGACCCCGACATGACAGCCGCGGCTGTGCGGAACTCAAAAAACCCACCCGGTCTTTGAAAATTTGGTCACGCCTTCTCTCTCGTGGTGTCGATCGGGTGCGTCGACTATGCTCATGTCTGAGAGGTTTTATGCTAATTAGAATTATCAGATTTGTAGCTCAAAAATAACATCATCTATCTTTAAATTTTTAGATAGATGATGTTCTTTTTGAGCTACAAATTACAGCAAACAGTCATTCAAGGGCTGGTGTAAAAAATTAGCTTTAAAAGCTATTCCGATATTCTCAGAACATGTGCTTAAGA